CTCATTGACGACAACGCCAAACAACAATCCGAAGCGTACCGCCGAACAAGCTCACGGCAGAGCCGCCGTCTGGATTCGCCGCATTCGCGATCTTCGTCACATCACGTCGCCCATTCCAAGGCGCGTTCGCCGTATCCTTTAAACTCTCATCCCTCACAAGGGTCACCGTTCAAATCCCCGAAATCGGCCACGTCCTCGCAAACCCATCACGGGCCATCACCACTCAAAATGGTCACTACAACGATGTCTCAGCCTCAGCAGCATGCTCAGGACGATGCGCAATACTACTTTCTTCCTGACGTAGACATGTCTAGCGAGGAGGCAAGCCTCGCGTGGATGGAACCCATCGTCATTAACGATGAAGATCTTACATGGGGCGGGAAAAGCCTAAGCGCCTGGTACGAGGAGGAGAGGCAGTCCGCCGACTTTGTGATGGAGGAGGAGCAAGAGGAACATCGGGGCCGTCAAAGAATACGACAGCACCATCCTCACCAACGTCACCAGCACCACCAGAACCATCACCACCACCACCCTCACCATCACATGTCATCAGGTGCAACGAAAAGCGCTGCCAGTCACCACGAGCAGAAGAAGCATCAGTTGTAGGCTGGAGACGACTTTTATTTTCCCGATTCTGTCGCGCGACGAGACCTCCAGTGCGGCTCGTCTGTTTTTTCCCTTCAAGCGAGATACCCGAGATTCTGTTCATTTACGGTCGCTGACACCCATGATGGTGCTCAACACTCAACACTTTTACACGACTGTCGATCCTTTACGGGAAGGAAAGATGTCGTTGACCTCGATTATGCTACAACACACCAGGGACCGGACGCGGTTTCCCTTTTCACGACGCCTGCGACACGCGGCTACTCTTGGCTCAGTTCTTAGACTATGGGATAGATCGGTTATCAGCATTTTCTCAGTGTAAACGGAGCTTTGGCTGTCTGGCGATGGCAGCATCATCACCACCATCCCCTGCATATCCTGCATTGGAACGGCGTTCTGGATCTTGGTATCATTTCAAAGCTGGTTGAAAGGGGCATGTCTGGCTTGTACCGCACTGCGGGTGGTACTGACGAGGTGCGAGTTAGATGATGTGTGGATAGATGGCATAGGTGCCGATTCGGCCGCCGATGCTGATGATATCGGATATCATCTGAACTGTCAGGTGTATTTAGTTGGTCACTCTAGGCCGAGGCACACTCTAGGCCGAGGCAGCCGAGAGGAAAGGCGATCGATTCAGAAGAACCCTACAGTCCATGTGTAGCCGCCGTGATGTCCGTGAGTAACTGTCAAATAGCGCATGCACGTGTTCGTATCAGGAAAGAAACACTGCTGTTGTTCCGAAATGCCTGGATAGGGTTGAAATACTGCCTACCGTTCCGCATTTCTCCTGACTTCTAAACTAATCTCCCGACTGTAAACAATCATTAAAACATCCAAAAGTGCTTCTGCAAGAAGACAACCTGTCATTCAAGAAGTGATCCCTTGAACGTGTTATAGGAGCATTCAAGGCTAGTAGATATCTGGTAGGCTGTAGCTCGACACGGGAGCACAACTGTCCTCATTTAGAAGTACATGTGATGAGCAAAGTTCACCCGGCGTTTTTCCCAGAAGAGCAGGTGCCAGGGCGATATACATTCTCCCAGGTCACGTTATTTGGAGATGCCGCCGAGTTAGAAGTAAGGCCGACATGCAAATCATCGAATAGATCTAGTTCTACATTACACTTGGCATTGTTAGACAGGACGAACGAAGACCATTCTCAGCGTGTCTTGGCAAATAAAGGGCGGAAGGAGTTCTTATTTATTACTGCCAACTTTTATATCAACTGCGGTAGGAGTACATGGGAACACTTGACGTCAGATTTGCACAGCCTTGCTGTCGCAATAAGGCAGAAAATAGAAGCAGACGTCAGTGCATTATCGAGATAAAGGAATAAGGAATGCAATGTTGCTGAGCGCCGAGGCAAATCATCATGTATCCAAGTTGATCCAACGCCGTACACTGTGCTGGATATGCACAATAAAATGCTCTACACACTCTGCACGCAGAATTGTCAACTTCTGCCCTGCCACAGGCGGCGAAACGGTCATGGGTGATTATGAGCTAGCCAAGAAGGGGATACCGATAAAGCAGTTACCTGTTCCATCGACTTTACTTGTACTTGACTGCCGTGACTGTGCCGTCCATGGGCCCTGTTCGTCTCCGCCCTAAATAGCTGGTCAGGATGGTTTGTGATCCTGCCTGGTGTTGTCGAAACTGTAAACGTATGTATGGGTGAAGCCTATCTGCGACGCTGTTATTGCTGATAACGGCTTTCTATAACATCAAAGACTAGACTAGGTAAGCTTCGTAATAATCGAGTGTTTGTACCAGTCACCCAGGGTGTCAGCTGGAAAGACAGAATGCGGAACGTTTGCCTGGAGTGCTCCTCTGAGCTGAAACCAAAAGTCACGGATCTTCAGGAGCTTGTACAGGCACCTTCTGAATGGACTGGGGATCAACTGTTGATCCTTCAGGCAGGATCTCCTAAGTCAAGGGCTTCCAATCCTCCTCGCATAGAGTTTTACCTTACCTACTTACATAGTAGTCGGAGACGCTCATCCATGCTCTGTATGGAGATAACCCTATCTAGAATGGCTTCTTGTATGGCTATTCGTTCATACGAGGAACCGCACCCTCTGTCTCGAAGGTGCCTTTCCCTTGCGGCGATCTTGATGGCTATAGATAGAAAACTCATGGAGCGTCCGCCTAAGATCGACAAAGAATTGCGACAAATAAGAGGCAACGAAGCTCTTAGCTTCTGCCTCACCAGGGTTGTTCCGCCATCGACGATCACCAACAATAGCCTCTTTCTTGTTGCGGCAGTAGTCTCAATGGACGCCAGCATTGGGGCCGTTGCGCACCTGGATAGCAACTGGCCCCTTGGTAGATTGATAGGGCGTTGAATGAGTATAAAGCCAAGCTGAACTCCGGAATCTTGTGGCCTTTTACGAGCATCATCACCTCCTTCTATTAAACATTCCAAGACTCAAGCCTCTAACGCGCCACAATGAAGTTCTCCACAGCCGTCTCAGCTCTCGCCAGCGTGGCCAGTGCCGCTTCCATCAGCATTCCCAAAGCCTCCCAAGCCTCCCCCCTGGATGTCAGGATCAAGATGGTCAGCAACACCGGTATCAAGGCGACGATTACCAACACGGGATCTGAGGACCTCAAGGTCTTCAAGACAGGTACCTTCCTTGACAAAGCCCCCACCGAGAAGGTCCGGGTGGCGCAGGGTAACTCGTCCGTTCCCTTCAGCGGCGTCCGGCAGCGAGTCAAGAAGACGGGTCTCAAGGACTCGGCCTTCCAGCTCATCCCCGCGGGCAAGACCGTCGAGGCCGAGTTCGACGCCGCCGAGCTGCACGACCTGAGCGCCGGTGGTGCTTTCGACCTACACTCGAGGGGCACCCTTCACTACGCCAAGGCGGGCTCTAACGACCTCACTGGCTTCGTGCCGTACAAGAGCAACCTGATCAGCACCACCGTCGACGGAGCCAACGCGTCCAAGGTCTTCAAGAACTTCCACGCGAGCAGGCGCCAGGCGGTGCAGGACGACTGCACGGGCGACGAGCAGTCGGCGACGGAGAGCGCGATCGAGGCATGCGCGGATCTGGCCAGCAAGGCGGCCGAGGTAGCCGGGTCCGACGACGACAAGCTGGCCGAGTATTTCAAGAACGCCGACTCGGACACGCGGTCGACGGTGGTGGGCGTGTTCGACGCGGTAGCCTCGGAGTGCGGCAGCACGTCGTCGGGCGCGCCGTACTACTGCTCCGACGTGTACAACTCGTGCAGCGACGGCGTCATCGCCTACACGCTTCCCACGGAGGGCTACATGGTCAACTGCCCCATCTTCTTCTCCGACCTACAGGCCTCCAACAGCCAATGCCATGCCCAGGACCAGCAGAGCACGGTTGTGCACGAGACCACGCACCTCTCCTCTGTCAAGGGGACCGATGACTACGGCGGGTACGGCTACGATTTCGTTCAGAGCCTCAGCGCCGAGGAGAACTTGAACCACGCGGATACCTATGCCCTCTTTGCTCAATGTAAGTTTGCGAGTTCCCCCCGCTTCCTCAGAGCAAGATCTCTGCAAATTCATGTGCTGACACCCTCCGTCTTCTAGCGATCTTTGCCGGCTGCTGAGGGCGTCTCGAATACGATGGAGTATGATCGGATGCGATTGATATGATCATATACCATTTTTGCCAGTTTTTTTTTTAGGTTTTTTTTTTTTTTTTCGGATGACGATGTTATGACAATGTTGTTGTTCCTGTTGGTACCATTGCCCGTCGAGGGAATTTTGTATATACCGAATATTCAGTCGTAGAAACGATACAGGCGGCCGCGCAGTGTATATATGCCGACCAATCTAAGCACATACTCAACCCATATACTAGGCGTTATCTTCTCAAGACTTTGAACCTCTGGGGATCCTTTCCATACGGTGAAAATGAAGCCTTCATGGGCCTGGACTGCTGCTGACTGTCAATGGAACTCGGGGTTCTTATGGAAGATCAAGAAGCGATTGGCAAAATTATTGCGACAGGCACTCTGGCATGATGGAAGTAGGCCAATCTCAACTGTGACGGCTCACTGGCATCGACAAACACCCGAAGATCGCAACGGTCCATTTTCAGCTTTTGGAGCACCAGGACAGTACGTGCTGCACGAAAGTGCGGCTACCCAGGGAGGTGGCCAGGTCTGCGCAGGTACCAGAAAGCCAATAGATACTGAATTCAAGTTGTTGAAATCAGCTTGAAGTCCAACATGTGTTGGTTCATTTGGTTTCGGAGGATGCATAAATTGATGCAATGGAGGGATTGGATATTACATGTTTGTTAACACAAGCGAGAAAAAAAAACAATTTGCCAAGCAAAGGACAGGGACTGAGACCGTTCTAGGGGACTGAGGTACAGGAGCTAAGATTGTACGCAAAATGTCCAACAAACAGTGGCGGCCTCGTGGCCTAATGGCTAGGGCGCTAGATTTCGGTTTCCATACAGTTCTCTAGAGATTGTCGGTTCGAGTCCGGCCGAGGTCGATCTATTTACCATTCCGAATTGGTGTAGTGGCTAACATTTGACGCTCTCACCTTTCACCCTCGGGGTTTAAGATTGGGCACCGTCAAGCCCGGGGTTCGATTCCCCGATTCGGAGTTAATATTTTCCTTTTTGAATATTTTTCAGCTTTTTCCCAGACAGACTTGGAAGCCGGCAGGCAGCATCTTGGCTTCAGTTTTCCCGGCTTTTCTTTCTCTTTTTACTTTTTCCTTTTTGTTATGCAGTAAGGTTGTTAGGCTTTTTTCTAATGAATCGGTTTTTACTGACTCTGCAGCGCATACGTAAGGGTCTAACAATGCAGCTCTATTTCCCTTCGTTTTGCAGGCAAGACCGAGAAACCGGAGGATGCATTGTTGCAGGACAACAAAGGGCCAAACACAAAGGACTCTGTCACAGCAGCTCCTTCTGTATGCCAACGTTCCAGATAGATCTCATGTTATGAGAAACATACCTCATATTTAAGTGACTGTCTACCAGCAGGTCTGGGTAGGCTCCGAGACAGAACGTCGCCGTGTTGATAATATTCACTTCTACTACCGCGGGCTGGGCAGGAACGAGCAACAGGTAAGACCCAACAAAATGCCATCCCAGCCATGTGCACTTGCCGCGCATTCAGATACCGGTCGTGACGCTGGCGCCACAGCAAGTTCGTGACCGTGGACATCGGCCTGGCGGCGCGCCTGCACCTGCGGAAGCCATGCCGGCAGCAGCTCATCATCAACGGCGACCCGGAGATCAGCCAGGCCTGGCCCAGCATCGATGGTATCTGCAATGTGTACCACCCCGTCGAAGCCGCCCGCGAGCAGGAGGAGAAGGAGAGGGAGGAGGCCGAGGCGGACGCGAAGGCTAATCCCGTCAACGTCTTAGGACATTATCGAGCCTGGCATGGCATAATTACCATGAAGTTCTGCGGAAGGACACCCCCCATCTTGCCGCTTTCTTTAATCCACTGTTCATTTCAACCGGTGAGTTACTTTAGTCAGATTTTAATTAATCAACTCGTTGTAGGTAAAACCTCAAAATTCACAGTTGCTACTTGAGTTTTTGGAGATTCTATGACATCGACCCTGGATATTCCATTCAGCCCCTTGAATCCAGTGCGCGATTCAACAACATCTTGTCCTCCAAAAGTCGATCCGGTCAGTAGATTTGTTGATCGTCGTAAGCTCGTACGCTCTCTAGGTACGACTTGACTTGACTCCAGTCCTTGCATACTGCATATACTGTCAGGAAATGCGAACGTACTTGGGCAGCGATTCAGGGGTTTTTTATCGATCGGCCTACCATGTTTCGAGTCCCATCCATCCGATCCGCCGTTGTGGTCGGGGAAAGTGGTTTCCAGGCCTTCGAGAGCCATGTCGGCGCTGCACATGATGGCCTGCCGCATGTAGTCGAAGCAGTGGATCATGTGCCAGTGGTGGTCGTCGGGGATCTCGTGGCCCGAGGTCAGACCGGAGTAGGTCTGCACGATGGCGAACTGTTGCAATCAGGCAAAGACGAGCACATTGTTGATTAGCGTGCGACGTCCTCCGACCATTACCCGCATTGCACCAAGGAGAGGATTTGCTGCGGACGTACCAGACAATGCAGCTGGTGCGTGGCTGATGTCGTGAAGACAGTCTTGTTGGGCCACACTATAGGAGTCGGGAGATCGTGGTACCGCTCTGTGTTATTTACCCAGACGAAGCCCATTCCCACTGTAACGAGGTTGTTAGCGAGTATACTTTCCAACCGGTCGTCGTTTGTCTCTTCCGCGGGCTTGAGGGGCCGCCTCGTGATGTAGAGTGGAGGAATTTACCGGGCATGAGCTTGTTCCACCTGTCGAGCACCTCGTCGGTGAAGAACTCGGCCGTGTTGTTCGGCGCATACGACTCGTCGCGGACGAATGTAGTGACCTTGGACGAAACTAAGCCAGTGAAGCGTTTCCGTTAATTCTTGTGACTCGGGATTCGATATATCCAATCCATAGGAAACGGAGAAAGAGACACATGTGAACATAGAAGCGCTTCTTGGGTTCCTACATTTCGGCCCTACGCCTGTAAAGTCCTGGCCGAACTGCCAGATGTTCGGATCCTGCAAGATGGCAGGGCCCCTCCACTGATCGCGCACGAGCAGCGCGAGGATGACCAGCAGTAGCGACGTGTCAATGATCCATCGCGATGACTTGATTCTCGCCAGTATGTGAGCACCGCCTCGCCTTCTTGCGCCGCGCCTCGTCGCGCCATCACCGCCGCCGCTGAGCCCCGGGTCGTGCCAGTGCTTCTCGTCGCCCATAAGCGAGCCCACTTCCGTGCTGGACCTCGTGTCGGACCGGTCGTCCGCCACTGGTAAGCTGTCGTAGTTTGGGTTTTGCCGCTCCATCACGAATGGTGAATTGTGAACTTTAGGGTTATAATGAGTAATCTAAGATATCTAAACGTAACAATTGAGCAGGCCGGCTGCTTAGGGAACAAAGAAGAACAGGAAATCGGGAGATCAATAAGAATACACAGACTGCTGGTTCACTTCTACCTTTTGTCCCGCCGTCGTATAAGAGGCAAGGGGAAGAAAGATTTATCAAAGGATGAAACTTCGTCGGAAGGTCTCATCTCGGAGTCTCGAACCCTGATACAACATAGCTTGGACCATCAGCCAGTCCTCAGACTCTACATATGAGCCCTTCATGGCGGTTAGACGTGGCGTCTAGATACTGTTTGAGGTTGCGATAAAACGGTCGATGTTTTGTCACAGTGGGGAATCCAAGTTGTGGAGGTCTACATGATCCCTGCTCAAACACGATCTCCGACAATAAGCTGTGAAGGGGTACATTATAGGAGAGCGCTTCTCCTTGTTCCTCTGCTTCCCCATGTCTTTGCATTAGCTCCACTATCTCCGAGTACCACGTTATACGCGCCTCTTCGTGTAAGAATAGTTGGAACCCTCTTCTGAGCCCACGGCACTTCGCCCAAGAGATTTGCTATTGTAACCAACGGCGATTCTGTACGGATTCTTTTCCCGATGAGTTGGTGGTTGAAAAATGCCGGGAGAATGGGCTATGATCTGTTACGGATCCGACGAAAGTAACAGCCAGAATAGGCGTATCTATTACAACCCCAACAACGGGCGCAGACGTATAGCCCCAATCATACACACCAACCCGTCCGCCGTTCTCAGTGGTTCTCCGGCTTGAACTAGAGATCCATATATTCGGCAAGCCGTGGGTTTGTCAGCAGAGCCGACAGTGCCAGCTCATGTTTAGCTTTCGGAGAACCTGTGGGAGGGAGTCCTAGTAAACCTCACGTTACGTCTGACAATGACTATGAAAGCAACATGGTAGAGCGCCTATGGTCTGGTGTGAAAAGTGATAAAAACAAGGTAAATTAAGTTGAAGTTATGGCTCAAGTCCCAGTGCTGTTTCCAAAGCTGCGCGAAGTCGATGCATTTGCCATTCCCTCCCCCTCACTATTCACAATATATTTGCATTTACTCACGCTGAACTGGGCGAGTGGCCACCCGGGGAGAGCACCGACAGCAACACCAGTCACCTCTTGAAGGAGTAAACTTACCTGGCACTTGCCGCCGTTTCTCAAGAAGAATTCGGCATGCTCTGTCCTCTGTAACGTGTAACCCCTTGTAAACCATATGGGCTTGCGAAAGGCAGATTCCTAGTCTATCTGCAGTATTCGTCCTTTTAACGTTCTTCTGGGACTGTCACGCCCGACAAACATACTTAGCATTTGGTTACGGCCTCCGGGAATTCTTGAGAGCTTGACTTATCAACACAACAAGAACCAACCCAATAGTGCTAGAGTATATCAGTCACAGCCTGCTTCGAGATGATGACAGACTGAAGTCAACTTCTTAAAGCCGTGATTATTGACAATTGTCTTATGGGCCTTGGCCCTTGAGATGAATACGTATGCCACTGTTATAGAGACTCTCAATTGTTTAGAAGTATTACTACACAGTGATTCCATTTCGGAGACTTGAATCCCACAACATGCTCTTTAAATATTGAGTGGTCCTGGGGAGTAGTATGTGTACTTAACTAGTGCCCCTGGGACCTGTGATCACAGTTGCACCACCGGAGATCAGAATAGAGCCGTAGGGGGGCGGCAAATTAGGGGCCACGGTCACTCACCAACCCAGAGCAATACAAGCATAGCATCATGACCTTAAGTTAGATAATATACTCACTTACTCTTTGGGTCATTGGGACTGGAGCAAGTGGACAAGCTTGTAGCACGTGCCACACACAGGGCTTGGTGTGTGGAATTTCAGCATTAACTGTGAGCAAACGCACCATGCATTACAAAGTGCTCTCGGTGCAATTGTCTGTCGCTTGTTTTTGCACAAAAGGAAGTACCACCATATATAAATACTTACCTAGCAAGCTCTAAGATCCCCCCTGAACCGTGCTGTCGCATTCAAAAATAAGAGCCGGTACCAATGTTACCCACATAGAAGTAAGTAGCTGCCTTAACTGAGAGTTTTGCACCATACAAGCACAGCACGAAGGACCAATAAGCGACCGTTCTTGATGTTTGTGGCCTCGCGTAATATGAGGAGCCTCATTGACAACGGCTAGCGCGTATTCGTGAGTTCCTAATCTGCATTCATGAGTGATAGAAGGGCAAGGACCGGTACGTACCGCCCATGTAGCTTCATTCAACTGTACAAACAGCAGTATACAATGGAATATCTCAGTGACATTGAGAGGCAACTGTGTAGATGGCGGTCACGAGTGGCAGAATCCCTCCCACTAGATGTCTATAAATTGGGTGCCACCTTCGCCGTCCCTTCTCCCCGAACCTCTCTTCTTACCACTTCAGCACTCCCACTTTTCTTTTTTTTTCTATTGTCTTTATATATATATATACACATGCCTTCTTTACTTCCCTGATTGGGTTTCTTTTCTCTTTACATATATCTATCTTTTGTTCCCCCTTTTTTTTCTTTTTTCTTTTTTCTTTTTTCTTTTTTCTTTTATATGTATTGAAATCTCTCTCCAGTTGCCTTTATGGCTGGGCTGCTTGCCTGCCCTCTGTGCAGCAGTCGTTCTCGACTCGTCGCGTCTCTGTGGCTGTGAAGCTTCGGCTTCCAGCTTTGATGTAAGT